CTGTGATGTGTTTAGCTGTCTTTCTCTTTGTTTTACTTTTTGCCGCTTACTAGACAATATGCGCTAGATCCAACACACTTGCCTTCAGGACTGATGCTCGGGCATCTCTTTGAAGTTCCTAGTGCAGCTTCATAGTCAGTCTGGGGGTTGCAGTTGAGAGTTAAAAAGCACTGTTCTCCTGCCCTCAAAGCTAAGCACATTTCTGCTGGAGCTCCTGTATTACCCATTACTGACCTGTGGAAGGAAAGACCAAGATTGTAGGTCTCTTGTGGGACAGTTCAAAAGTACTGCAACTGAAACAACAAAGCGGCCCTTCTTCCTGTCCTTTTCCTCAAGCCTGAAACATTGCCATCTTACTTTCCTGTTGACTGAACCTTCAGGAATCTTTGCTTACTAACAAGAGCCAGAAATGAACACAGATACTTTATTTCAGAGGCTCAAGGTTTCTCCCAGGCTGCTGAGGATGTAATTCTCTTCCTTGTCCTTGTCAGTCTTGTGTTTCTGTATCAGAAGCCCTGTCCTGGATCTTGGGGGAAAACGAGCTTTCCTTGAATGTCTTGTATTGCATAGGTCTGATCTCTGTGCTCTACAGTGGTTTACAGGCTACAGGTCCTTCTGGCAAGTTGTGATTATCAATATGAGAAATAGATAAAAGGATGAAAACCTCACTAATACTGGTGAAATCTGCATGCCTTTGCATGTACTTGGAATGATTAAGAAAAAGAGCAACCTAATAATGAAATTCTTGACATTCCTGTGGAAGGACAATAAAATTTAGGTTAACAGTAATTTTTTTCTGACTGTCAATGGTACAGAGCTTTATAGAGACCAAAGAAATAGTTTGAGTGCTGGCAGCTCCCGACGTTTGCGCAGAGGCAGAGATTACTGCTTCAGTTTTAAGAAGAATATTTGAGGTAACTCACTGCAATCCTGATTTCATCACAAATGCGCAGCTTTTAAATTCTTAAAGTTGCTTTCAAGGAGAGCATGTTCGCAGAAGATGTATAAACAGCCTTAATGATACAAGCTGTTTAGAAGGTAGAATTTCTAGAATGAGCACCTGCAATAGAGAGGTTGAGTTGTCGTAGACTCCTGGGGCGAAATGGATTGCTGGATCTCCCGTGTCTCTCAGATGGCTACTTTGCACATAACTGTAGAAGTATTGAACTCACTGATTGTGCTTGGCTAATACATGACTTGCATTTGGTTAAAACATATCTTCCAAAAAGATGACTTTTCTTGATTTGAAGATACCAAGCAGCGGAGAATGTACCACTTCACTGTTGGTGTATGCTAATTTAATAATTCTCATTGTTCATCCACATGTCTTGTTCATAGTTTGAGTTGGTTTCAGCTCAGTCGGTTTGAGGCAGTTTCAGCTGCCTTCTATTGCTCCTTATTGCTTCCTTGGCGCTAATGAACTGGGTCTGGTACATGGTATTTCCTCTTTGTCATGGTTCTACACAGTAGCCATATTTTCTTTTTAAGTTAAACAGCCTGAGTTTTTTCTTTTGTTATAAAACATTTTCTCTATCCTCTGCATAAAATTTATAAATTTTTGCCTACACTGTACATGACAGCATTTAGGAAAACAGACACACTAGAGCTGTATGCACTATTCCATCACTAGAGTTGCCAGACAAGTCAGGCTGCTGTTGGTGACTTCCACATCCTCATAGTTTATCTTGGGTTTCTTCCCACCCCCCCAATTTTTCTGTTCTCTGGAAGTTTTCACGCTGTGGAAGTTTTCATAGTTGTGACTTAATTCCAGATCACCAGTGAAAAAATTGAATACCATAAAATAGTCTCAGATCTTGCAGAGCCTGACTGAAAACTGTCCCATTAGATGAAGACAGCCAGTTGATGGTTGTTAGAAACGGGTCAATCATCAGGTTCTTAACCCATTTAATGTGTCTCCTCTCAACATTGGGAGTGCTATTGCAGAATATTGTACAGTACTAAATCAAATGCCTTACAACAATCCAAGACTATTACATGTTCAGAGACATAAAATGGTATTGACTGGCATTAATTACATTCCTATGCCTTAGTTCTTCATCAAGTAAATGCCTAGAATATGTGTATTTCAGCTTTTCCAGTATTTTACCCAGGACTGATGTTTTGTGAAGTGGCCTGAAGTTACCCAGCCATCCTGCTTGCAAATTTTAATTGGCACAAAATTAACATTTTTGCAGTCTTTCAAAATTTACTACAGCTGAACATCACAGCTCCTGGGATGTCTGCCACCTCTTTTTATGACTCCTGTGGAGAAAGTTGTCCAGGCTTGTTGATTAAATAAATAATATAAATTTCTAAGGTCATACTTTTACATGTAGCTGAAGTCAGAGGGCATGTTTTCTGAGTCAGTGAAGTCATACTAGTAAATTATAGCGCAGCAATTGGTAGTTTTATAAGGTTGAGGCTGTGGGGTTTAGAAAAACCGTACAAATTAGTAATAAGCTGTGAATATCAGGTGTAATTTCCTATTATCAGTATAGTTAATATGCAGCTAAAATAAATTGTTTCAACATATATGTGCATTGGAGGAGAATGTTTTTTCATGGTTTTACATCAAAATTATCTAGCTAATAGCTCTATAAATACTATCCTTCGATAAATTCAATGAACTATAATTCAATAAGTCTTACAGATGTGTCTTTGTGTCTATACGTTGGTGGGGAATAAAAAAATTCAGAGAAGATTTTTTTAGTACATGCTAAAATACTAGTGTAATTTACATAGCAGCCATTTTAAATACTTCTTATCTGAAATGAGTTCTGTGCATTTTGGGACAGTTGTTAATAAGATGTAAGGACGAACCAGCCTTTAAAGTAACAAAGTAAGAGAAGTGATTTAAAAACTTGGCTTTCCAATGTCTGTTTCTATTAGCTATTGCAACGGAGCTTTCATATCCACGTGCTTCATTTCTTAAGTAGCCAGAAGTATAATGGCTATTTTTTTACCATTTTCTAAGTCGTGATTGAAATTGCCTTCTGAAGGGAGGCAGCATATTTTCATTTCTCAGTGTTGATGCTGGGTAGGTGGCAGCAGTGCTCTCTTGTGGGTGATCAGAAAAGAATGCAACGCAGATGCAGACAAGCTTTGTATTCAGCATTACAAAGCTGAGCTGGAAGAATCAGGAGATATATTTTCTAGAAATACTTTTTAGGCTATTTTTGTGTTTTGCTGAGTCTTCGATAACCCAGGGCAGTTTTCAAAACTTAGTTGTTTTATATTTATCTACCTGTATAGATCCAGGACAGGTATAACTGTGCATATTATACAGAAAATGCATCAGTAATGTGTTCATTCATGTGGGTTTTTTTATATTATCTATTCTAAGGAAGACAATATGCTTTCCATATGAAAATATATAAGTGCTGGATGATCTGTGGACTGTATCCATTTGTGACATTGCTATACATTTCTCTGTAAGCAAGAAATTTGTTAATATCATATTTTGCCCTATTGATTTTTCGCAGGTTCAATTCTTTCTCAAGCACTTAGTGTTGCTGACATTGCTGTGTAGCATCATGCAGAGAAGTAGAAATCACTTCAGCCAAAACCTCCCTTATGACCATTGTCAGTCAGCGTCTTCCAGTGAATCAGCAGTGTGGGCTTAGGCTGAACGCTGCACCTCATTCAGCTTGTCCTTAGACATTTGCCCATTGTCATATTGGGAAACTCTCCCTTCTTTTGATACAACAAGGACTCAGTAATTTGCCGCAGTTGTGCATGTGTCTTGCACAGAATGGTGCAAGATAGTGCTTTCTTCCTTTTAAGTTTTGGTCTCTGAATGGCAGATGGTGGGATATTTTATTTAATGCTCTGAGTCAGCTCACTGGCACACTTCACTTTCAATTAATCCCTCTTTACTCTATGATGTATAGCTGTAATTGATTATATTAATCTGCCAAGGCAGAAAGAGGAAAGGTTAAATAAATACAGCGAGAATTTGAGGACTCTTATTATCTCACTTCTGACTTCTCCATGGAAACGTAACATTTACTGGGAATTGTAAGACACATGACTTGCTTTATCTTCATAATAACTGCTTTTATCTCTTTAAATAAAAAAGCAATAGAAACTCGCAGACTGGCCCAGTGGTCTGAGTAGATCAGTTTTTAATCTAGATGGCATTAAAGCCAAAAACATTTTCATTGTTTCAGTACATCACAGACTGCTCAAGAAACCTGATAGCTCTATTTCTGTTGTTTTTTTCTTCACAAAAAACTCAAAATACATTCCCTTCCATACAAAAAATTAAAACGACTAGGCAATCCGCATGAATATATACAATACTAATTTTAACTGCTTGGATGGCACGTCCATTGAAGAGAGCTGGTAAATGCTGCTGAAATGAGGAGACCTTAACCCAATTATTTTTGAATGGCATGTGAATGCTTCAGGCGGGGATGCCATTATTAAATGGCATGTGCCGTAAAATAAAAAAAACGAAATACCCCATGCCCAGGAGAGTCCCCGGTGCTGGCCAATGGGAAATTACTGTACATCATGTCACCAGCCCCCCAGATTTATATCTTTTAGGGTGACATACTATTGGCTGCTAGTTAGGCTCTATGGGAGGGATTACTGGCACAGTTTGTGGCTTCCCCTTCAGGTCCTTATTTGGTAGCTGTTGATAGAGCAAGTCTTTCCAGCAGCTGAGCATCTTGACATACATTATTCATGAAGTCCTGGTGTTCAGGAAATATGCATATCCCTAGCTCTTCAGATATTTCTTCAGCTCATACAATATGTCTCTTCACTGTTGCCTCTGAATGCTTGGAGTTTTACAAATGGCATTTATACAATCGGAAGACCACGCGGTTGGATTTCATTTCAGTATGCCTCCTGTGCACACAGTTGCTGAGAACCTGAAGATCAGCAAAAAGAATTAGGAGAGAAAAGAAGGAATCTTTCTTCTTGGAAGTCTTTTGCAGTATCAGATAGCAAAGAACTGATTAGCTTAGTTTGGTAGTATAGAAAAAAAATCAAAAATGCCTGAGGCAAACTATTTACTCTCAGTTTCTTGGGGCTACATAAAGGTAGGATTTTGTTTTACCTTTTAAGAACCTTGATTTGTGGTGCATGATTGCATGATTACTGGATAGCATGAATATTTGTGGGTGATATGACTATGAGTAATATGAATATAAAGTAAAAAGTCAGAAAAGCAAGCCTTTGTTCAGCAATGAGAATGAACTGCACAGTATGCAGTCTTTCTTATAAACTATGCTGGGACTTTTAAAATAATGTTGCTTCAGTGCATAATCAGACCAAGTCTAAAACCAAAGAAATTTAGAAGTGTTTTGTGTTATTTTAAAAAAAGATTGCTACAAAACTGTATTTCTAGACATTAAAAGATTTAAAAAAAAACAACCCCTCAAAACTGAGATACCATACAATAGGAGAGAGCATGACTAAAGAGGCTGAGGATAATGGGTGAATGTATGACTCATACTGGTTTTAATAGCTGAAGAAATGTGAAATTATCAACAGTACGTTCCAGCAGCATTTTCTGGTAGCCTCTGTGTGCGCGCGCACGCGTGTGTGTGTGTGACAGCTTATTGATTAAAACACTGGGAGACTGAAAATTGTCATCTTCTAATATTGATCTACATTATTATGTGGAGCAGCTTTGAACTAGCTTGAAATTGCAGTACTGCTAGAAAATGGAATTAAATAAGCTTTTATCTCTTTTATGGAAAAGTTTTGCACCAAGGAATTAAATCAGTATGCCTGTCAACATACAGAATTGAAATTCATTTAATAAAAAAACATGTTTGGGCTTTGTTTTAGCCTTTGATCAGTTATCTGTGAAGAAATTGGATCCCATTACGCTAGCTAGGTGGATTCTTTTCTGGTTTACCAAAAAATAAGATGAAATTACTTTCCATTCAGCTAAAAGTGAGGTATTTATTGTAATTTACTTGGAAGTATTTCTTGCATTTCCAGGCAGCTGCTGTCATGTTCCTGCTTGCTAAATTAGAAAAATTCAATCACCAGTCTTAAAAAATTCTTTACTTTTACTTTAGTTCAGCCTTTAAAATTGATAGAGTTTTTGGTAATTGAAGTTCAGCAGAGAGCATGGTAGCTATAATTGATTACACATGGAAAAAAAAGTCCTCTGTATAGACAGTGTCCTATACTGTCTACAGACAATGATTTTAGTTAAGAAGCTAAATAGTACTTGAACACAATTTTAATACAGTGCTTTTTGAGTTCACAGTATACACATTATAGGAAAAAAGTGAAGAGAGGCAAAGAAGATCTGCTTTTTATGACATTCAAAATGGAATGATTTAGGGTATTCATTAAATTGTAAGGAAGAATGAAACATTAGTCAGAGAGATCACTATATGCATATCCCTAGCTCTTCAGATATTTCTTCAGCTCATACAATATGTCTCTTCACTGTTGCCTCTGAATGCTTGGAGTTTTACAAATGGCATTTATACAATCGGAAGACCACGCGGTTGGATTTCATTTCAGTATGCCTCCTGTGCACACAGTTGCTGAGAATGTTAGTCTGAGAGATCACTATATATGTTTACATCCCTTACTGTGCATATATTTCTGTAATTTCAGTATGCTTCAGGCTGTACTTTATTATCTGCTGTTAATGATGCTTCAGAGAATGGCTGTTATGTGGAGTATTTACCCTTGGCTTTCATTGGGTATCTTCAAACAATGAGCACCACTATCACAACACCAGGCTTAGAGACATGTACCTCACTATAGCTTATGTATAAAAACCAGTGGGTGACCCTGATATTAATTAAACACATGGGTTTCCAACCCAAATCTTTAGTTATTAAGAATGCTGCTAAAATCAAAGACAGTTTTGCATTATTAAACAATATAAACAGAATCCTTACATTAATTTGTAAGGCTGGCCTATTTTAAGTTCCTTGTCTTGTTTTTGTAGAATACAAGACTTCTGAAATCCAGTAAAATAACACAGTTCATTCTTTTTTGAGTTACAAACGTCTTTTTAAAATAACATTGATAGATACTTCAGAAACAAAATATAGTCATGTAAGTTTAATGTTCCAAGTATTGAATGCACGTTCCATGGATGTATTCTATTCTTGTAAGCTCTTAGAAATGTCACCTAGAAAAGAAGCAGCCAGAAAGGTTGAAACTGGGATCTGTTGCCATGTGGGATTGGGAGCCAGTGCAATGAAAGGCTCTGGGTGCTCTTGAGCATTTTGGTTCCAGCCTGCGCTGGGCTTGGAGCTTGATAAACGCTCAAACTGAAGGACAGGCAGGACGGGGCTTTTTGATCCATGGACTACCTTCTAGTTCTAGCTTCACTTTCTGTGCAGGTGCCAAAGGTTGTAGTGGAGGCAGCCTCATTACAATCCTTGGGATGCAGGAGATCACCCATTCAGGAACAGAAAGCCTGGGTGGAAGAGGCCCTACAAGTACAGGGCATCTACACCAAGTGTAGTTCTGCATGCTTCCTCTCCCAACACAACTAACTGCAGGCTGCATATTCACTTAAGCTTCTTGTTATTGAGTCAAGAACTTTACGCAAAAAAATGTAAAACGTTCTTAAGTGTAACCAATAAACCCCATCTATGTTAAGCACGCAGCCCAAACTTTTTCAGGCTATGAATTGTCTCTAGTTGGATCTTCTCTATGTCTTTGGAGTTGAAGTTTCTAGTACAGATGGAAAGTCTTCCCAAAACTATATCAGTGCTCTGGTTGCCATCTGGCAACATGGTTACTGCAGAAGTTTGTCTAAATTTTTCTGTGTACTTTTGCTGACATCAGAAAAGTATCCTGTTCTTTCTCCAAAAAAACCCATGTATCTTTGTCCTGGGTTGACAGCAGTAATATATATGCAGAGATATGCTCACATTGGGCTTCAGCCTGGAAGGATCTAAACTACCAAGCTCAGTCCCTCATTTGTAACTTGTCCTTTGGAGGTGACCACTATTTAGGAAACTGTTCTTGTCTCATCAATGTATGCATGTTTATTCTTGCGTATTAGAGTTCTCCTTCTGTCAGACTTCCTAAGAGACTTAAAAGTGCACAAGTACTGCTGAGAGTAAAACAAAAACATTGAAATCAATAGAAACAAATGAAATGAAAAAATTCTCCTTAAGGAAATATTTTTAGGATTTTTTTTTCAGACAATACTTGACTGCTCTGTTGCTGTGACATCAGTATTCAGCAGTGGAGAACTGTATAATTGGCTTAATGGACATTTTATAGCCTGTCCATTTCCAGGGGGAATTTCCTAGTCTATAATCAAGGGCTGTGATATTCCAAAAGGATATATATGTGTCATTTTTCCAGTCTAACAATGCCTAGTCTTAACATGGGAAAATATTTCTTTCTGAGGAAGAACACAATATATGCATCGATCAGCCCAAAAGCTCTGCTTTCTCCCCGTGCTGAGCTGACAGTATCATAATTAAAGCGTATGGTGTAAAAGTTTATTAGTAACAGGAGTTTTGGTGCATTATGATTGATTTTCTTCAACTAGGAAAGTATATGGCATTCAGATTTTTTAAATTCTTATTTAAAATATTCTCTTTAACATTTACGAGTAGTGACAAGGTGGTTTCATGTCTTGTTTGACTTGTTTTGAATAAAGTGCTAAACGTTCTTTCTGAGAGGACATGATGAGAGTATGGACAGTCTAGGCAAGTTTCAAGCACTTAAGAGGTATCTGCTGGATGACTGAAACAGTGTTGACTCACAGATGTAACAAATTTCTCTGATTTGCAGTAAGATCTTGTGGGAGCCATGTGAGAGTTAGGCAGAGTTTCATTAGAAAGTAATAGTGCAGGGATGTATAAATATGTGGAAAGCTGATGCTCTTTGAAGCAGCAACTACGTATGGGTGCACTTGGGCTCAAGTGAAATCTTGGAGAAATCGCTAAAATCAGGAAAAAGTAGGGGCTTTGGGATGTTTGTTTTGTTTTTTTTTTCCTTAGAAAAAAGTTTTTTTTTTTTGTTTGCCAAAGGACAAGTTACTAAACATCAAAGGATTAAGTAACATACAGATACACTGAAACAGGCTATAACCAACAAAAATGTCTGAACATCTCAATCACTGTTCATCTGTCTTGGGGTTTTTTTACGTTCTCAAAGAGCATTGTTGTTCTGCATCAGAAACTACTGTCTGCATATGGTCTTCAACTTCATCTGTTTCAATATGGATGATGGTCATAAGGCTTTGTCATATAATTAGAAAATCAAAACAGTTCTCTAAACTGTTTAGTCCAGATATTTTCAAAATAAATGTAAATTAAAGTCTTGTTGCTGTGGTGTCAGCAACATGTGAAAGAGTATGAGGAAATCATGCTGCTACAGTTCTTCAAAGCCAAAGTCTTCTCCTACTGAATTCACTGTTAGCAGGAGGGCCTTGCAGCAGCCTTGCTGGGGGACTTGTTTTACTGTACACCCATGTTCAGCAGCGACACAGACTGTTCTGCAGGTTTCATGCTGATGGTTGAGCATTTATGTTCTGGTGACTTACGGAGTGATGGGAGGTGGGAAGACAAGGCTTTGCATCAGACTAGTGGGGAACATAGCATTAGAAAAGACTGCCATGCACCTTCCCTTTGTTGTGGACCTCCATACAATAAATATTTAGTTGGAAATTCTTAAAGAACATATACTCCTAAGTTCCACAAGATGATTCCCTGTATGCAATAACAAACCTTCTCACTACCTGCTCCCCGCAATTAAATTTACGATTTGGAGAGAAAAAAAAAATCCTTCCTATTTGTTGTGTCACGTAGCTGCAGAAAAAGCATAGTGCAAACAAACACCAATTCATTCTCCTTTCAAAGCTGGGAAATTTTTTAGGAGAGTTCCTGAAGAGTATGTACCAGCGGTGGCTACATGGTCTTTTTCTGAAGTGCAGAACATGACCCAGTAGTGTTGCTCTGCAGTAAAAACAGCATTGCAAAGTCGGGCATCATCTAAAAGGGTTTACTAGGAAACAACCAGACAGATAAGAACCTATTTAATTGGAATCTGGTGAACTAGCTGGATTAAATTAAGGAGGAGAGACTATTGGAGTGTTAAGGGATATACTGATGACAGGCCTGGAAGTTAATGTGATTTTGTCAACTTCTGACATTTTATTAATATTCCTACGGCATATTTAATTTAAAGCTGTGGTTTCTGGATACTGTCTGGAGGCAAGTCATTCTATGAGTTCTTCATTTTTTGCCTTAAATAATTCAGTTTCTCACCTTCATGGGTGCAGAAAAAAAAGCAGGCAAGCATGACTTAAATGCGTGTTAAAAGTTTAAAGAAAGGCTTTTAAAATACTCTTTGGATTTTTGGACCAGTCCCATTACTGCTTGGCAAGTTTTACTTGTTTTTTGACATTTAACATTGGTGACAAACATCTGACCTCACTGCAGAGGTTGGTACTGGTTTCGTGCAGAATATATAGCCCTGTAGTTCATAGTATGCATAACTATTTGTAGTATGGTTCTAATTTTCAGAAATCTGTTGAGCACTTAGTAGCACACAGCTGTATCTGAGATCAAAGCTGAGCCTTTGGCTTGTGACAAAAGTAGAATTCAGTCTTTGTAGCAGGAAGTTCCTGAGCTGATCACATGTCAAGAGGGCAGGAAAATGCAGTGGGTAACAGTTAGAGTGTTATATTAAAGGTAATTTTTATTTGGCACACTGTGAGCAATACAGTAATTGGTGACTTACAAAGACATTGTGAAGAAAATAACATCTTTCATTATGCAAGGCCTCTTTGAAGAAAGGGCTTTGATGATTCCAGTGGGATGGAAAGGAGGTGGTTTATGTTTAGTCTAGTGCTTTATCCGATATAGAAGAATAAATTACCAGTTTTCAACATAGATGAATATTTACAGGGATATATACTAAGGATAGCTATTGTTTGATGTAATTAATAGTCATAACTGGGTGAACAAGATGGAAGAGGATTCTGAAAATGGCACAAATTATTTGGCTTTGTTAAGAGAAAAGATGACAGAAATCTAAAAACAAAATGAAAGAATGGCACAATGGGAGGCAAAATTCAGTAGTGACAGATGCTAATTTGCATTGGAAAGAGTTGTTTGAATTGCTAATAAATATTGCTGAGTTCTATTTGTTAATAATATCAAAGCAGAGCTATAGTCAATGAAAACACATGTAATATAGCTAGAGCTGCATTGCACAATTAACCTGTCGAACGCAATGACACAAGATATGATTTAACCCTGAGTCTAGAAGGAATCAAGAAAGGCTCAATGATGAGTACGTAATCAATTACACATTTCGTGGAATGTTAATATCCACTTGTATCCAGTAGAGTGCCTATGTGAATTGCTAACTTATGGGGAAAAGGAAGTTTCCATAGATAGGTATTTTCTACTCTGATGTTTCATACAGATACAGACAATTTTCTGAGACTGTGGAATGGGCAAGTCATTGTGCTGATCTAGTATAATAATTTTAAGTAAAAGACAACAAACCTACTTCTATTCATATTGGCATGTAGGAAATCAGTAAGTTATTTTGATTTTTTTGAGCAGTGCTGTCAAATACATTTGAGTAGATTAATGATGAGAGGGAAGATAAAATTGAAAGATTACAAAATGTATCGCAAAAATGCACAAATAGATTAATTTACGAATACGATAAGAAACCCCTAGTAGAGAAGGGGTCCTGTGTAAATACATTTGTATTTTCTCTCCAAATAACATGACCCAGTAGTGTTGCTCTGCAGTAAAAACAGCATTGCAAAGTCGGGCATCATCTAAAAGGGTTTACTAGGAAACAACCAGACAGATAAGAACCTATTTAATTGGAATCTGGTGAACTAGCTGGATTAAATTAAGGAGGAGAGACTATTGGAGTGTTAAGGGATATACTGATGACAGGCCTGGAAGTTAATGTGATTTTGTCAACTTCTGACATTTTATTAAGATTCCTATAGAAGATATTTAATTTAAAGCTGCAGTTTCTGGATACCTTCTGGAGACAAGCCATTCTATGAGATCTTCAGTTTTTGCCTTAAGTAATGCAGTTTCTCACCTTCATGGGTACAGCAGAAAAAGCATGCAAGAGTGAGTTAGGTGTGTTAAAAGTTTAAAGAAAGGCTTTTAAAAATACTCGTAGGATTTTTGGACCAGTCACTTTACTGCTTGGCAAGCTTGACTTGTTTTTTTAACATTTGCTATTAGTGACAAACATCAGACCTTACTATAGAGATTGATACTGGTTTTGTGCAGAATGTATAGCCCTGTAGTTCATAGTATGTGTAACTGTATTTGCAGTATGTTTCTAATTTTCAGAAATGTGTTGAACACTTGCTAGCACACGGCTATATCTAAGATCAAAGCTGAGCCTTTGGCTTGTGACTAAAGCAGGATTCAGTCTTTGTAGCAGGAACTTCCTGAGCTCATGACATGTCAAGATGGAGGGAAAATGCAGTGGCTAATGTTTAGTGTTATATTAAAGGTAATTTTTATTTGGCACACTGTGAACAATACGGTAATTGGTGACTTACAAAGACATTGTGAAGAAAATAACACCTTTCACTATGCAAGGCCTCTTTGAAGAAAGGGCTTTGATGATTCCAGTGGGATGGAAAGGAGGCGGTTAATGTTTAGTCTAGTGTTTTATGTCCTATAGAATAATAAATTACCGGTTTTCAACATACAGGAGCGTTTACAGGAATATTTACTAAGGATAGCTATTGCTTGATGTAATAAATAGTCATAACTGGGTGAACAAGGTGAAGGATGATTCTGAAAATGGCACAAGTCATTTGGCTTTGTTAAGAGAAAAGATGACAGAAATCTAACAACAAAATGAAACGATGGCACAACGGGAGGCAGAATTCAGTAGCAACAGGTGGATGCTAATTTACATTGGCAAGAGTTGTTTGAATTGCTAATAAATATTGCTAAGTTCTATTTGTTGATAATATCAGGGCAGAGCTATAGTCAGTGAAAATGCATGTAAGCTAGCTAGAGCTGTATTATGCAATTAACCTGTCGAACAATGGCACAAGATATCATTTAATCCTGGAGTCTAGAAGGAATCAAGAAAGGCTCAATGATGAGTACCTAATCAATTACACATTTCGTGGAATGTTAATATCCACTTCTATCCTATAGAGTGCCTAGAGTGAATTGCTAACTTTGAGGGAAAAGGAAGATGCTTCCACAGATGGCTGTTTTCTACTCCAGTGTTTCATACAGATACTGACAATTTTCTGAGACTGTGGAACGGTCAAGTCATTGGGCTGATCCAGTATCATAATTTTAAGTCAAAGACAACAAAACCTACCTCTGTTCATATTGGTGTGTAGGAAATCAGTAAATATTTTGGTCGTTTTGAGCAGTGCTGTCAAATATACTTGAGTACATTAATGATGAGAGGTAAGATAAACTTGAAGCATTACAAAATGAATTGCAAAAAATGCACAAATAGATTAATTTACAAATATGATGAGAAAACCCTAGCAGAGGAGGGGTCCTATGTAAATACATTTGTATTTTCTCTCCAAATTAAAACTGAAAAAATGAAAAGACAGTAATATTAATTATTTGTGTGTATACATATGTCTTATAGTTTTCAGTTACTAGTAGGACACTGTGCCTTAGTAATTGAATCACTATGGAGTATTTTAGGAGGTTAAGAATTACGTTGTCAACCCATGAATACGTTAGTAGGGTAGAGCAATGTTACATGTGTTTTTTGCTTTCATAGTTATCTTAGTTTAGTGCATATTCTTAATGTCATTTCCTTTCCCAAATTATAAACTGACTGCATTTTCTCATCCTAACTAAAATACATCTTGATAGCTAACATTATGCTTTTTTTGTTTTGTTTTCCAGTTTAAAAGAATGCTCAACCGGGAGCTAACCCACCTATCTGAAATGAGCAGGTCAGGCAATCAGGTCTCAGAATATATATCAAACACATTCTTAGGTAAGACTATGATGGGAGTTAACTTTTTTGTCTTTTGTTTTCTTTTATCTCTGTCTGGGCTATGACAGAGCTTAAAAGCAAGTAGCTTTCCATATTACTTTCTGTTTTCAGAAACTGTACATTTAGTATCTCATTGTTCAGTGTTTGAGCAGAGAAATCATGTTACATACATTTCCTCACATCTCATTTAGTTTGTGTATGTGATTTACCTGTATGCGTAATTACAGATAAATATTCATAGACATATTTTTGTGTAACATCACAACTACTATATTACTACCGTATTAAGAAATGAATATATAATGAATTAATTATATATTAAAAAGAATTCCTCCACTCTGTTTCCCTTATGAAAGTTACAGTGAAGAGGTTTCAGTGTGCTGGAAGCACACAAGCACAAGTAGCCTCATAAAATCTTGTAGCACACAGTTCTGATGCTTTGGTATTCCCTGCCTGCACATGACTGGGTGGATGAGTATGGCTAAGTCAACATCTGAACAGACTGCTGCCAGGAGAATTTGTGTGGCTCAAGAGCTTGCATGGTGGGATGTGAGCATTAAAAACAGCCCAACTCAATATTACAAAGAGTATGTATGGTTCCTCCTCTATGGCTTTGCAGAACTAAGTATATTTTTTTTCCCAAACGGGTGAAAATGAATAAAACTTGGTTCCATACTGTTGATTTTGAACATGAAGATTAAGATAATATACCAATCTCAAACATGTTTTGAGCAAAACACCATTGGTTCATAAAGACTGTGCATACAGGGGGAGGCACAGCTGAATACGTCTAAATTAGGATAACAAGTACTTTAAAAAGTGCCAGTCCCATGTGTTAAGATACATCTTGTTTTATTTGTGTGAGATACCATAGGTGGTGCTTTTTCTGTTTTTTGAAAGAAGCAGGTATTTTTAAGTACATTTTATCCTGCTTGTCACGATATCCTAAATGGCTTGCTTCATGTGTCTGTGCAGTTTACCTATGAGTGCAGCAGTGTGCCTGAGCACCGTGGCACAGCAGGGTTTCAGGCAATAAGAAAGGGACGAGCCTCTGTCATGGAGAAGCAATATTGCACATCTTCAGGAGCCCTGAAAGTCACAGTGTACAGTTGCCTGAGAAGATGAGCCACTTGTGCTAAAAAGACTGAGATACCAGTTTCTGCTTGCTTTTACTTGAAAACTTAAGGCTTATTTTGACAGGGTAAGGAAATGCATCTGTCAGCCTTTCACATGAGACCTAAGTCTTGAGCACAAAGAGGGCTGGAAAGGCAATCACTTCTAAGTTAATGAGCCATGGATATTGTTTTGTGGCTGCATGAAAACCTAGGATACTTAAAATTGTAGGTACGAGAGGAATACAATGGGGAAAATACCTCATCTACAGAATTATTGCTTAAATAGAGTACTTTCAAAATATGCACTCTAAATATATATGGGTTCTGAGCAACAATGTGAAGAGGGAAAATATTCTCTCCGTAGCAAATTTTAATGAATCTAATTAGTGAATTTTTTTAATACATAATCTATCTCCTGAACATCTACAGACGTTCTCACATTTGAGTTAGGAACGTGTCATGAGAAAACAGTTTTTTCTATTCTTATTTTTCAAAAAAAAAAAAAAAGACTGTTTTCCCCACGTAGGGCTATATGACATGTATGAAGTTATTCATAATGACAACAAATATATTCCTTGTGTAAGAATTAAGGCTCCTACATTGAGTATAATAACATCCAAGGTTTTTATTTTTCAGTGTCATTATCCTGTTTTCCTATGAACGTAAAATGTAAGAGAACCTGCCAATGAGCATAGCACAATCAGGGTCAAAATGGCAAGCTGTCTTTTCTGGATGTTCAGATGGGCACAGGATCCTTTGCCCTGTGTGTGCATAGTTACAAAAGCAGAGGCAGACCCATGGAATTCCTCCGGAGATCTAAAGTCATTCAGATACTTCCTTTCACTTGAGTTAGTCTGACAGCTCAGCTTATGAACCTCCCTTTGATGGGTCTAAACTTTGTGCATATGACCGAAACCATAAACATCAAAGCACGAACACGAGTCACTGCTCCTCATCTGTTGTCGGTTTGCACCAGTCAAGAGCTGCAGCGCTCTGCCTCCCCTTTTTCTTGATTGTCCATATGAGGAGAGTGCTGAAGGATGGCAGGGGCAATCGGGGAGCTCAGTGCTGCAGGCTAAAGCTTAGTGACATTTCCACAGTCTCTTCTTCGCTGTGATTTGTTTGGAAATTGAGGTGTCCAGTAAATGCGGCTGCTAAAGGGTAATTAAAAAAAGAAATGGAAGAAAGAAAGTGAAGAAGCGAACACAATAACAATCTGGGAATTAGAAATGGACTTGCTACCCTCATGTGCTTTCAGTGACTTTATTGAAAATGACCATTTTCAAATGGGGAAAAACAGACATATGTTGTAAAAAGCCCAAATTTTCTTTCTTTCTTTCTTTTTTTTTTTTTTAATTTCTTTTGTTCTAAGGTGTTTTTTAAATTGTAGTTTTTGGTAGGCTTCTGTGTTAGAAAGATCTGTTCTGGATTTTCCTCGTTTTGCTGGAATATTCCTTGAAGACTAGAAAAGGTGCAGGTACATTTCAGCAAAGAAGAGATAATTTGGAAGGAGTTATTAAAACTCTGTGTTGAAATATAGTATGAATAAAAAGAACAAAAATTAATGCAAATTCATAGCAGTTTTGGCAGGAGAGTCCTTTGTTGCACTAACTTAAGTTTCTTTGGGGACCACAGATGTCTGCAATGCTCCACACACCCCCTTACCGTTTCTGCAGTGATCAGCTGGCAATGGCCTAAATATACTTTTATTCTCAGTTTAATCCTTATCTAAAGTTTTGCTGGTACATACGTTGATGAGGTGTATGAAGCAATGCCACTGATACTGCTATGGTGGCAAAAGCCCACAGCAAGATGTTGCGTTTTAGCAAAACAGTCCTTTTGTCAGTATTGCTTACTCTGGTTGGGAGGTGCAAAAATGCACTGCATTACTGGCGTGAACTGCCTTTACATACAAAGCGCTTGTAGATGTAGCTGGCATAAGGTTTTCTGAGTTTTACAGAGTTTTAACGCAAACAGGACCAGTCCCCAAGTATTAGGTCCTTCGAGTCCTGAAAATGTTTTGTAAAGGTTTACATGAGATACCATTTTCATGGTTTTTGAAATGCAATTTCACAGAGTGTTTTTCCTGGAAAAGAGGAAATTTTAAATTTTCTTGCAAAATGAAAATTTAGATTTCTGTTCAGTTGTAATAACATTTTTGTAATGAAAGGATTGACCCTTTCTACAGCACTAGGGATGCAGCAGAAGTTGAAATCAGACAGTCACAAGTCACATTTAAAGCCAGTTCGGAAATAACAAGGCAATTTGTGAAATAGAGATCTGCTTATACTGAGGTGTTGATCTATGTTTATCTTTTCATATTTTTACTGCTCTTGATATGAAGTATCTGTTTCAAAATCTCCAAACATAAAAACAGTTTTGTTAAGAATTAAAATAGCCATAAGATGCAACTCAACAGTGAAGTAGAAGAAAATATTTGTAATTCCTTTAAAAATTATTCACTTTTTCTTCATTCTTTTGAAGACAAACAACATGAAGTTGAAATCCCTTCTCCGACACAGAAAGAGAAAGAGAAAAAGAAGAGGCCAATGTCCCAGATCAGTGGAGTCAAAAAGCTGATGCACAGCTCCAGCCTAACTAATTCCAGTATTCCCAGATTTGGAGTTAAAACAGACCAAGAAGATATTCTTGCCAAGGTAAAGAATATATAAATCCTTGAATTTAAACCATTGAATTAAAATAAAGGGTGGATTTGTCAGTATTATTCCATCCCCTGCTTATAACCATTGATTTCCATCTGTAGCACCAAAGGCTTGTCTCACTTGAAATAGTATAAATTTGGTGAAGTGGAAGAATAACAAGTAAAATCAGAATCAGGCTATAAGGGTTAATTTCCATGTGAACAGGATTTCATCTGGAGATGGAATGTAAATTAGCATTTGTGTCTGCATTAATAAAGCTGCTTATTCGTAAATAATATGTGAGGAATGAAGAGTAAACATACCATATACTGTCACAGGAATGAAAATACATAGCAGCCCTGTGTGTTCTGAAAAAGCACAACTGGTGTATTGCATTAGAGCTATCCCTCCAGGTCCTGTCTTTAGCAGTATCATTTTACGTAGATCATTTGTGGTTTTGTTTGTAGTGACGTTTCCTATGATTCTTGCACCAGCAGCTAACTAGTTGGCAATAATCTAAAACTGGCATAAAATGATTATTCATTTAATTTTAGAGTTTTTCATTTTGAAATATGCTTGTCCTTATGTTTTCAGGAATCTCCCCCTTTATTTGAAGAGTGTTTCCGAGAACCAGGGAGACAGCAGCAGAACCTCGGCATCTCTGGAGGTTTCCTCCTTGCTGAACTCTGCTGTCACTGGGCAGTGAGATAGTAAATTGTGTCAGTTCAGCTCATTCAAGATACTGTAACATTTTTACCTCTGGAGCAATCCACTTAAGAGGCCCTCTTTCCTGCTTACTGAATTAAAATCTAAAAAGTTGGTAGCTGCAAATTCACATATTACAAGATCAGTAGCAGCAGCTTTCCCCCTTTCAAAGTTTAGCGTATAATTTTCACAGGGGCAAAGTTTGAACCTTCATGAGTCTGCTGTTTGTAGCTGTTCCAGTCAAAAATCACTGGAAATAGTGTGTTAGGTTTCAACATCTCTTGCTTGATTCTGCTCTAGGAACTAGAAGATGTGAACAAATGGGGCCTTCAGGTTTTCAGAGTAGCAGAGTTATCTGGAAACAGACCTTTGACAGTCATCATGCACACCATTTTTCAGGCAAGTAGCAGCAGCCGTGCTGCTTTTTGCTTATTTTAGAGATTCTTCTGGGCTTTTTGTAATCAATTGTTTATCTTTTCCTTTTGTAGGAACGGGACTTGTTAAAAACATTTAAGATTCCAGTAGACACTTTAATAACTTACTTGATGACCCTAGAAGACCATTACCATGCAGATGTGGCATATCACAATAACATACATGCTGCAGATGTTGTTCAGTCAACCCATGTCCTGCTATCAACCCCGGCATTAGAGGTAAGCTACACTGAGGTGGAAAAGAGGCAGGCATGAGAGAAAGGGATATACTGAGACTCTTCTAAATTTAATATTGAAGATCTTAGTTTCTGCAATATTTTTAAAAGAAATCTTAACATTTCTTTCATTAATTGTGCTCTTTTAAAGATATTTTGTGAGGATCAAAGCTTGTTTACATGTAAATATTGTGCAGAAAATGTCACATCTTTTTATTTTAAATCATGGTTTTATACTTGCAGATTTGTGCTGTCATAACCTTTTTCATTGTAACACAATGCATAACTTGTTTCCACCATCTCATTATTAATACTACATACTGTTCTGTCATTGTTTCCCATGTGGGATTCTCACTAACCACAGTTAGTGGAATTGCTTAGGAAAGATAGTAATAAAATGGGATTCCCTCAATAGGGCCATTTGGTTTTTGTTTTTAACTTGTGCATATTCATTCTGGTCCTGAAAGGCTACTTTGTTGTTTGTTCCTCTGGCAGAGTGGAACATGTACTAAATTTCCACTGGACTATCTCCATTTTTTCATAAATATTTCAAAATTGTTTGGATTAAAAAAAACATTTTGTATGTTCTTTTCTGAAGAATTGTCTTGTAGAAGGTGCTTAAATCTCTGAAGTAGAAGGAAGTGGAAGAAAGATGGAGATTACTTTCCCTTTTTGAAGCTCAGTTCAAGTCTTAGCGTAGCAAACATTGATATATCCCAGTAAATTGGTGGAAAAAGGTAAATAAAGCAAGCAGTTGAAATTTCAGTAATCGAAAAGCATTTGCCCTCATTTTCAAAGAAGGCTGCATTTTGACTCTTTTTCATAATGACCACTCTTTCACGTTATGGAATGCTTCTGCTTTACCTTCTTAAGAGGAGGTTTATAGGTGAACCCTAAGACTGTTGGCAGGTCTCGATCCTCAAAGACTCAGGAATTCTCTGGGGAAAGATTTTCTTTATCTTAAGAAGGAAGATCAGACTATGTTCTTAAATCACCACTGGCTTCACCAAACAGCTGAACTGGTCGTCAGTAGCATTTTCAGGTTTTTTTCCAGATCAACTGTTTTTCATGGCCTTGTTCTCAGCAGAGCTTTAGCCAGTACAGTAGCAATGTCTGCCCAGTGCCACTGCTGACCTACACACTTCTGAGCTGTTCTTGATCAATTATGAAGGCAATTATATAACGTGGGTGCTTGTGACAACATGGGACTGGCCTCAGTGACATGCCAGGTCCATTGCAGTCCTCTCTTCCTATCTTCCTAATAATCTCATACAGAAGAAAACTGAGTAAATGTTAAGTAAGATGCCTTGTAGTCTGTCACCATTTCCTTTAGCATCATTTAGGAGATAAGCATCTTTCAAGTATAAGACTATACGTAGGAGTCAGGCTGAAATTTTTAACTTCAGTTTGTGCTATAGGTTAGAAAACCTGTACTTAACGATCTAATCTGTACTTAATGATCTGATTAAAGTGGATTTATTTACAGACTGAAGCTGAAAAAACTTCAGTTATTATGGAATTTAGTGATGCTGTCAGTGTGAAGTAAGGATGGTTTTACTTTGGCCAAACTTGAAATATTTATGAAATTCTACATAATTGACAATTTTACAAAAGATTGTGATAGCCTATGTGTAAAATCTTTTGAGATCCCTGATACATTTCAAATGTGTTTTCCTTGTTCAGATCTAGATTCAAAGTAGAGTCCTTTTTATTGAAAACACTTTTTCATTGATTAGTGATTGTCATTTCTGTTTCATGATTTTCTAGGCAGTGTTCACTGATTTGGAGATTCTTGCAGCAATTTTTGCCAGTGCAATACATGATGTAGATCATCCTGGGGTTTCAAACCAGTTTCTTATCAACACAAGTAAGTTTGATGTTCAGCGGTTTTCTCAAAAATTTGCTGCAAGATCTGCACATACCACATGAAAAATACACAGTTCATTCCTTGTTTGCTTCTATGTGTACTTTTACTCAGTAAATAGATAGGTGTTTGTATTTTAAACTGGATACTATTTTGCATTTCCTGTAACTTTAGAAATAATATATATAGTACCCTCTACCAAGAATTACTAAGACATGAACTATAATCCTGGCGCTGTTTCAAGGTCTTGGATGCGGTCTCTACTGGAAATTAGTTGGTTTACATTAAATAAAGTTGTAGGAGAAAAATGAAAGAAGATTAAATAAAAAAATAAAAAAAAAAAGTAAGACAACGGTTTATGGGTTTATGTTGGAAGCATATGATATGACCAAGGATAGCCATACATTTTTAAGAAATTTAGAAAACAAGTTTCTTTTTAGCAGATTGACAGGCCCATCTCTGTCTCTCCCTGGCTGTTGTACTTGGTTTCTGATCTCTGCATACTCATTCCTCTTGGACTGAATTTTCTCTGCCTGTCCCTGCAGGCTATGGCAAACCGTTTTGTTTTGTTGTTTTTTGGTTGTGTTTTTTTTTGGGTTGTTTTTTTTTGTGAGTCTCTTGCTGGCATTTCCATGTGTGGAGGAAAAAGCCCTAATGAAATGAGTCCTTAATGTCATCTCCAATTCTGAAACCCAATGTACTTGTTCTGCATTTCTCAAGGCTGTTCTCTGCAGCATTGCATGAACCTCTCCCATCTTTAATCTTCTACTAGAAGAAAAATACTGTTAGCTTTGTTGAACCTGATCATAACACATTTACTGAATGGCTTGTTGCCCCAGTGTAACCTGCTTTGATTTCAGTGGCGTTATGTTACTATTATAAGTGGATAGCACATTGTAGGTCAGTGCAAGTTCTGTCATACGATTTTACTTCTTTTGCCATCTGACAACTTCTCCTTTTATGATAACTGACCCAGAAGTACAAAAGTTGAAATAATACTAATAATCCAAGCACAGAAGAAGAAAAAGCTGCAGAATTGGAAACGTATCTAGGGTTGTGTATTTGACCTATCTGGTTGCACATTTATAGATTGTCATTCCTACACTTGGGTGACTCTGTTGCACTGGTACTAAAATAGTATGACTCCAAATCAGCAGTATAGTTTGAAGAAGGGAGCTCCTCTTCTGACTCATTGCTGCTGTATATTCAAATAAGACCTGCACTCCAGTTTAGCCTGCATCTAATTTTATTTGCCTGAGGGCTGCCCTGTAGTGAAATTCAATTTGATGACTCATTTGCAAGGAGGAGGATTGGGATTGACTCTAGGTTCCTAGTGCTTTATTGATAACCAGTACAGCTCAGCAGCGTGGTATAGGAAGAGAGTGAATCAAGCTTTGTGCACAAAACAGTGTGTAATACCTAAATTCTTAAGAGTGGGCATATATAAGTAAAGTTTTTATTTGTTTAATCAGAAATTGAGTATCAGGATATATTGGTGACTCTGAGGTGCTACAGGGAAACCACTGAGTTCTTCAGGTTTAAGCAAGATGACTGGCTAGTTGAAGGGACCAGTAGTGATACATAAAGCTTTCACTTTTAGGCAGACAGTTGAAATTCAGCTGCATTAGGAGTGATTTTGATGCTGCTTATTTAATGGCTTAGAAGAAATGTCTTGTTTTTCTCAATTCAGCTTTTGATAGAGGAGGCTTCCATGTCAATCAAGTAATATCACTAACTGGAACTGCTGTTGCCAAGCTGAAAGAGACAAAGGAATTTTATCCATTTTGAGTTGTTCTGTGTACTAAGAATAAACTGTAGGGACAAAGACCGTCTAATTTAGGTCTCTCAAATCCTAGATTTTCCTAACCTCTAGAAGATCACTTCCTTCTACCTAGTTTTGTTTTCCAGTGAACCTTGCAATGTATTAACATTTCACTAAGAAATATAAGAATACATTTTTAAAAAGCATAATAGACTTACAGTTAGTTAAAGTGTGTACATATTTGCCATATTTCAGCTTGTTCTTTATAATTGCTC